CACACGGAGCCACATGGTCCCCCCGCCTAGGAGGTTGAACTGCTGGCTGCTTCCGGGGCGCCAGCCCAGACAGGTAGGGACTAGCCTGCCTTAGCGCCGCAGCACCACCGACCAGACTTTTAATGGCTTGCTCGGTGGTGCTGACTGGAGCCGCCAGGGTCCCTTTTCAACCAGGCGTTCCGGTCGAAAACCAGACACCTGGTCACCCTACCCATGATGTACCACATTCTCCCCAAATCCTGAGCCACCAAAATCAGTACCAGATTTACAATGGTGCCAGTGGTGCTGGGCCCACACTTTGAAGGGGCCCATTATAGACTCGACTAACCCATCCATACAGCTGGATCTGGCCCCTCGCTCAGGGCAGTCCAGCACCCAGGGCCTGGCTGTGTGAGTGGTTCCCTGCCAGCAGGTCCCGCACGCCACCCAGCAGCCGGGCTCTGCTATGCAGGCTGGGCAGGACTCTTGGGGGTTGCATCCGGGGGGTCTGCCCCACTCCCCAGTGCAGCTCTGGCTCTGAGTGGTCTCTGCCATCCACCAGCTGTGGGACCCTCCCCGCCTCCCCGGGGCTGAGATGCCTGGGACTGGTGCAGAGACTGGGCAAGTCTCAGCCAATGCGGGTGGTTGAGGGGACATGGCTGGGCTCTACCAGACAAGTGGGTATGCAGGGAGCCCGGCCTGGACAGGCTCTGCTCCTGCTCCAGCCTGGCTGACTGCGCTGCTCCCAAGGGGCTGGAGCGATCCCTGTCCCGGGACCGACCTGAGCTGTGCTGCTGGCTCAGCCCAGCAGTCACGGTCACCTCCCAGTGGGGCTGGTGAGTGCATCTGGGGGGGTCAGGGCACAGGTTTCTGGAGGGTGGGGGAGATATGTGTGTTTTGGGGCCCTGGGCGGTGTGGGGGCTGGTGTGGGAGTGCTGGTCATAGAGGGGTGGGGAAAGTCTGTGTATGTTGGGGCACTGGACAGTGTTGGGTTTGTGTGGGATACTGTGCAGTTGTGGCGGTGGGGCTCTGGGGAGATCGCTGGGCAGTGGGGCATCGGGGGCTCTGGGCATAGGGGTGTGTATGCGTTGGAGGGTGCTGGGCAGTGTGGGGACTGTGTGGGGTGCTATGCAGTTGTGGTGAGGAATGTGTGGGGGAGTCTCTGGGCTGGGGGGCGCTGGGCATATGGGTCTGTGGGAGATTTCAGCGGGGAGCACAGGGCATAGTGTCTGTGGGGGCGGTCTCTGGGTATGGGGGGTGTTGGGCAGGGGAGGAGGGTGTGGCGCACGGCATGGGCCCACCCCGAGGGGTAGGGGCAGGCCAACGTGCATCTGGCAGCTGCTGCTGGTTTGTAAACAGTGCCCGTGCACTGGGATGGGTGGAGCGGATCCATCCCCGCCACACTGTGCCCCATTGTCCCTGGCCTGCCCCTCGCTCCATTGCCCCCATGGGGGCCCACAAATATGTTTGGCGCCAGGCCCACAAAAGATTAACCCAACCCTGACCACAGTACTTTGTGGGAGCCCCTGGAATCTCAGCTGAAAGAAGTAATGACTGCTTGGGGTAAAGGAGCGGTTGCCTTAGCTTGGAGCCAATAGCAGACTCTGTATGTGGTTTAACCACTAGAGGGAACAAACACACACCCTATTAGCATGGATTAAACAAGAAATCTGTTTCTGTGGTTACTGAAACCTATTTTTACTGTTTCACTGTGAACAAATGTGCATATATATATATATACACTTAGGCCTGGTCCATGCTAGGCAGTTAGGTTGGTTTAACTACATTGCTCAGGGGTATGAAAAGTCCACATCCCTGAGCAATGCAGTTAAACTAACCCCCAGAGTCAACAATTCCCATCGACCTAACTACCACCTCTCGTAGAGTGGAGTACTTACGTTGACAGGAGAAGACCACCTGTCGGTGTAGCTGATGTCTTCACTGAAGCGCTAAAATAGCTTAGCTGTGCTGCTGCAGCATTTTAAGTGTAGACAAGTCCTAACATTTTGACTGCACTGTATTTTAGGGGTAAAATTAATCCATGATAGTAGAAGGTTCCAACACAATGGTTGTATAGACAGAAAGAAGGTGGCTGTGGAGCAGGGGCACAGGGATACGTTACATCTCCTGCACCTGAGTAAGAGGCCAATGAATCTAAGGGCAGGTCTTCACTACCCACCGGATCGGCGGGTAGAGATCTATCTATTGGGGTTTGATTTATCGCGTCTCATCTAGACGCAGATAAATCGATCCCCGAACGCGCTCCCCATCAACTCCGGAACTCCAGCTTGCGAGAGGCGGAAGCGGAGTTGACTCGCTGCTGTCCTCACAGCCAGGTAAGTTGACCTATTCGCGTAGCTGAAGTTGCGTATCTTAGGTCGAACCCCTTCCTCCCCCCCAGTGTAGACCAGGGCTAAAACAACATGCACCAAGTGGCCAGAATATCCCACATTCAGTGTGTACAGGGATTAAAGCCACAGCTCCAGGCTAAGTGGTGGAATAGGGCGCTTTATATCCTCCCTGGAGGTTGGGTTGGCTTCTGGTCCATTTACTTAGATTTCACATTGAGAAGGGAGAGAATTTCATCCTATGCAAGGTAACTCTTGATTCTTCTTTGAGGGAGTGTTACATTCATTCTGGGTGAACGTTTGGACCTCATTAACTGAGACAAAGAGGAGAGGGTTTGATTAAAAAGGGCCTGAAACCTATGAAGTCCCTTTGTTTTAAGTTCAAACCAAACAAGGAAGCCTACAATGCTGTGGTGTAATGTGAGGCCTCCATTAAACATTTCAGGCTGTGTTGCGAGGATAAGCATTGAAGAGATTTGAGATTGACATTTGGGAGAGAAATCTGTCACAGATTTCAGAATAATGCCAAAGATTTCTTATGATATGGTTTGAGGAAGGCTATGTATGGTAAATCAGTCCTTTTCATCTAGGAACTTGATCATCAAAGCTCACTCCTTGTAACAAAAGAAGAATATGAATTTTTGAAGGTTGCAAGCCTTGTTCATATTTCATTATTTCAGTGCAATGCTTCCACAGTTCATCAGTCCCAGGTTTACTCTGCCAACTTAGTTATTTATAACAATTCTTCTACCTTCCCGACTTTATTAAAAAATAAAACCACGAAGAAGTGTCTTCTCCTCACATTGATATTCAAAGGTTACCTGCTTAAAAACAAAACAAAAAATTCCACCACCCTTATTATTTAAGGCTTCTTTAATGTTTCATAGGGCATCCAGTGTGCAAGAAGACATAACAGAATATTTACCACAAGGCCCTGCAGGATAGATAAACACTGACCTTCTGAGACACTGCTCTGTAAGATACTGTAGTTTGCGGAGAATCCCTCTTTTGCTATCGCACTGTCAGTATAAAAAACCATTGAAAGGATTCCAGTTGAAGAGCGCACTCGGCCTGGTGTGTTCTGTCCACAATAACGCCCTATGTGGGGGCCAACTGAAAAGAAACAAAGCATAATAGTTCACTACCTTTCTCCTACAACAATGAGTGTCAATACAATAGCCCACCAAAGAGATGGTGGAAAGGAAATAGGGAGTCCCTGCAACAGTTTAAAATTACTGTCTCCTCAATAGCTGAGTAATGAACGGAAAATTGCTCATCCTGCCATAATAATCTCACTCGTACAATGTTCCAGATAACAAATAAAGCTAAATATAAGGCTAGATTTTCAAAAGGTACAGTTTTTAAAGAGGTCCGTCATGAGCAATGGTGGTACAAAATTACACGCACAAAGAAGCAGAAGTATTTTCTGACATGTGATTAAAGCACCTATTGATAATAAGGGGCTCCAAGTGGCCTACTCTGCACACCCAGCCTACAAGGTGCTGAACAATGTGAATTTCTCCTAAAGTAAAGGAGACTGAGAGTCTACTCAGCACCTTGCAGAATCAGGTACTTACTGTCCCAGTTTTGCAGGCAACCTGTCATTAGTTTTTCAGCAAATTTAGAAAAATGTTTTCTTCTCTTGCAATTACATAGTGATCAATGAGAGACCCTTGTTCCCTCCTATTTGAGCTTTTAACAGCTTCTAGCAGCTCTTTTTTCCCCTTCACTCAGACACTGGCAAGGAAAAAAAATAAAATGAAGTATGAACATTTCCCCCACCTCTTGCTTTTGAATTCCTTAGCGATATTCATTACAGTTTGAAAGTTAAAAAACAAATCCTGATATTTTTCTGCTTGGCTTAGGCAGTGTGATGATTTTCCCCCTTGACTAATCTGGCTACCCACAACCAATATATAAGGCCTTCCTGTGCTTGTGCATCCCTCTTGGATAGAGCCATAAACTGCTGAACAGTGATAAATCTCTGCTAACAAACACTGAATGTAGTACTAGATTCTATGCAAAAACTTAGCTATAATACTGGCAGGCCACAAAACCCACACCTCCAGCCTTCCAGAGCTAAATGACCACCCTGTCACATCATCATCATTGTTGGAAGTCTGGTTAGTTTTCAGTTTAAAACTTAAAACGTTTACAAAGCTTAGTTATTAAATATGCAAGGATAAACATCAGCTAACATAATTTCTCTAGAAACTCACTGGGTTTTGCCAGCAAATAAAACAGTTTCCACTTGGAATAACCTCCACTGCCAGCCACACTTCTCTACTACGCCAGTGCGGCCAGAAGGAAGCAGCTTAGATGATGTAGCCCCTTCTGCCAATGTAGGGTTTTTTCCCTCTATCTTCTGGCCACAGTCTCTTATAGAATCAGCTTCCAGTTGCCTTGGCAATGCCATCACATTTAAAATAATAGTCACCAGCCAACTCAGGCCCTTTTTTTCACCATGGCTGCTCTGGATGTATGGATGTAATGGAACATGCTGCAGAGACATAAATTGGATTCTTTCCTGCCCTGGAAACCATGAAACCGCTTATGATCTTATTATTTGAAATGAGAAAGCTGTTCTTCTGGAGCACTAGCAGTACTACTCTTTAAAAAAAAATTTCGGTCAGTCTGAATACAGCTTGACCCTTCATTGTCTTTTTTTCCTAGGATGGGCAAACAGCTGTGACCCTGCTCCTTCCCACTACGGCCTTTGATCATTGTAGCCACTGACTTTGCTGAAGACTACAAGAGAACAGGAGAGATGTGGCCTCCATGTTATGGCACTCAGAGTCCCCCTCCCCCATTTCCTGCAGGGAAGGACCCTTTGAAATGGCAAACAGAAGAGAACTTTGTTTAAAGCAGACTCATACTTTAAGATTCACCATGACTCACTGGTTTATAATTTTTAAAACATACTTGGTAATTCTGCATTTCATTCTTCTGAATATTGCCTCTAGATATCACAGTGCTATTCTCTTTGCTAGCTGCATAGATTCAGGAGCCAAAAGCTTTGCAAAACATGATACAAAGAGGTATTGAATTTTCTTACACAACATGTAAACCTTAACTTACTGAACTAATGCAATATTGATCCTAGCAGAACTAGATTAAATGGAGCTTCTTATTCTCCTATATAAATACCTACCATACTTTGAGGGCTTTTTTCCCATTTAAGTCTTGCAGACTTCTGAATGAGAATAAATTACTTAATAATGTATAAAGAGTCACCACACCAAATAATGTACTGTGGAGAAAACAGCTTGAACAATAATCCAAAGAGACAATATCATTGCTTATTTAGATGGAATGTGTCTCTATTTCTTGTAGTGTCCTGCTAATCCTTCCCATTCAGGAGAGAGCGAACAAATTCTCACTTATGATGTATGTGGCAAAGGAATACATAAAATTTCAACACAGAGAAAGCTCTCCCAAAATCCAGACAGAAGAATGCATCTAAATTCTGGACCGCTGATGCTAGAATGATAGCCTGCTGGAGACTAGGCCTAGAAATCTGTTGGTAGCCTCCAGCAATAAGGATTTGTGTAATTTTGTTACCACCCCACATGAGGATCTCGTCCAAATGTGTGTCACTTGGGGTATGTCTACACTTTGAGCTGGTGGTGTTATTCCCAGCTCCAAGGCACATACTCTGATCAAGCTAGGGCACAAAAATAGAGTAGCTGTGCCAGCATGAGCATTAGAAGGGGCTAGCTGCCCCAAGTATGTACCCGTCCCAGACCAGAGGCATGTACTCAGGGTGGCTAGCCCCTCCTGTAACACTGCCATAGCTACAATCTAATTTTTAGAGCCCTAGCTCAATCACAGCTAGTGTGAATATGTCTTCTCAAGCTAGGAATCACATCCCCAGTCTGAAGGGTAGATACACCCTTGGAATTGATGTAGACTCATCAGAGGCCATCTGACATTGCCAAAAGAGCAGAGGCATCTGTGCGAGCTCTCCCTGGATTTATCCACTTGGTTGTCAGTGCTCTATCTGTCCCTGAGATTCCTGCCTCCTTTCTCAGCCAGTCTGCATGGGACTGGTGTGATCATAGTGGAAAGGAATTCATTATATTTAGGCTAAAGGGTTGAAGAGGCAGCAAAAAATTATTTTACAGAACCATCCTAAAATACAGACACTAGTTCTGCCCGTTCCAGTTTAAAGCTAGATGTTCTGAGTATATACATGTCAGGGGTTCAGCATTCACAGTGCATGCCTAGTGGTTTAACACTCTCACTAGAAAGTCTATTTCTAGTTGTGCTTCCTTTTTCCTTCTGTAAAGATGAAGCCACAGAAGAGATGTTGAGCTGAACTATTGAGGCCATCAGACTCATCTCAATGTTGCATACTTCATAGTTGCCTTTCACATTGGCCTAAGGGGCCAAATTCATATCTTGCTTAAATCCACTGGAAAAAAGTGTCAGTGATATCCATCTTAAAATACTAATTTAAAGTGTAAATTAATTATCCATCTTAATGAACATTAAAATCTGCTTTTTAAAGTATACTGTATGCCATATAAAGTAGGGCTGTTGATTAATCGCAGTTAATTCACGTGATTAACTCAAAAAATTAATTGTGATGAAAAAAATTAATTGCAGTTAATGGCAATTTTAATCACACTGTTAAACAATAGAATACCGATTGAAATGTATTAAATATTTTGGATGTTTTTCTACATTTTCAAATAGATTGATTTCAATTACAACACAGAATACAAAGTGTACAGTGCTCACTTTATATTTATTTTTATTACAAATATTTGCACTGTAAAAATGATAAAAGAAATAGTATTTTTCAATTCACCTCAGATAAGTACTGTAGTGCAATCTCTTCATTGTGAAAATGCATCTTACAAATACAGATTTTTGTATTACGGATTTTTTTTGTTACATAACTGCACTCAAAAACAAAATAATGTAAAACTTAAGAGCCTACAAGTCAACTCAGTTCTACTTCTTGTTTAGCCGTTCGCTAAGACAAACAAGTTTCTTTACATTTACAGGAGATAATGCTGCCCGCTTCTTATTTACAATGTCACCTGAAAGTGAGAACAGGCATTCACATGGCACTTTTATAGCCGGCATTGCAAGGTACATACATGGCACATATGCTAAACATTTGTATGCCCCTTCATGCTTTGGCCACCATTCCACATGCTTCCATGTTGAATACGCTCGGTAAAAAAATGTATTAATTAAATTTGTGACTGAACTCCTTGGGGGAGAATTGTATGACTCCTGCTCTGTTTTACCTGCATTCTACCATACATTTCATGTTATAGCAGTCTCGGATGATGACCCAGCACATGCTGTTCGTTTTAAGAAAACTTTCACTGCAGATTTGACAAAATGCAAAGAAGGTACCAATGTGAGATTTCTAAAGATAGCGACAAGTATCAGGGGGTAGCCGTGTTAGTCTGTATCTACAAAAACAACAAGGAGTCTGGTGGCACCTTAAAGACTAACAGATTTATTTGGGCATAAGCTTTCGTGAGTAAAAACCTCACTTCTTTGGATGCAACAAAGATAGCGACAGCACTCAACCCAAGGTTTAAGAATCTGAAGTGCCATCCAAAATCTGAGTGGAGGAGGTGTGGAGCGTGCTTTCAGATGTTTTAAAAAAGCAACACTCTGATGTGGAAACTACAGAACCCAAACCACCAAAACAGAAAATCAACCTTCTGCTGGTGGCATCTGACTCAGATGATGAAAATGAATGTGCATCAGTCCGCACTGCTTTGGATTGTTATTGAGCAGAATCTGTCATCAGCATGGATGCATGTCCTCTGGAATGGTGGTTGAAGCATGAAGGGACATTGAATCTTTAGCACATCTGGCACATAAAAATCTTGCAACGCCAGCTACAACAGTGCCATGCGAATGCCTGTTCTCACTTTCAGGTGACAGTGTAAACAAGAAGCGAGCAGCATTATTTACTGCAAATGTAAACAAACTTGTTTGTCTGAGTGATTGGCTGAACAAGAAGTAGGACTGAGTGCACTTGTAGGCTCTAAAGGTTTACATTGTTTTATTTTTGAATGAAGTTATTTTTATACATAATTCTACATTTGTAAATTCAGCTGTCATGATAGAGATTGCACTACAGTACTTGTATGAGGTGAATTGAAAAATACTATTTCTTTTATTTTTTACAGTGCAAATATTTGTAATAAAAATAAATATAAAGTGAGCACTGTACACTTTGTAGTCTGTGTTGTAATTGAAATCAATATATTTGAAAATGTAGAAAACATGCAAAAATATTCAAATAAATGGTATTCTATTATTGTTTAACAGTGTGATTAATCGCACAATTAATCGCGATTAATTTTTTAATCATTTGACAACCTAATATAAAGTATTTCATCGGATAGTAGGGTTTTTATTGTCTAAACATTTACATATAATTTAGTGTTTAGGGTGCTTAATGGAATTTGAAAAATGAACACCTGCCCTAACTCGTCCAGTAGTCAAATATGAGCTGTTACATACTATTCCTTAAAAGGTTATCAGCAGTATAGAGAGTAACCACAATAACTACAAACAACAACAACAAAAAGGCAGCTAGATTAATGGCATCTCTCATTTGCACTGATGTGAACAACGATAGCAAAGTGTTTTTAGTTCTATAATTAGGGCACGCACTTGTGGTATTGACCAGAGCTGTAATGCTTAGCCTGTGGTGCTCAAAACATATGTAAACTTCTTTAAATTGCTTTTGAGCTTCTGGAAGACAATCCATAAAGCTTCAAAAAAATCTGCATGAATATGTGCAATTCATCACCTCAGCTATTCATGGTTTTGAGGCCACTATTTTTCTTAGAAGTTATCAATGGATTGCTCTTAGCCAGGGCTGGGCTTAGGTACATTTGTGCCCTAGGCAAAGACACCAACACAAAATCACATACTGACTTATTGCTCTTTTGCTCCCCTGCTCACACCAACCCACTCAGTGCCCTGTGTCACTTCCTCCTTCAAAAAGATGGCCTTGTGTCTGCTCAGTCGTTTGCAAGAGTTGACTGTAGTTTCGAGATATTTTCCAGAATAGTTTGTACCAGCTGCTGCTGTGTTAAAGAGAGGAGCACCTGAGGTCAAAAGATGCCCACCACACACAGTTCTGCAGAAACAGTGCTATCCTGCAGGGAGCTGAGCATTCTGGCCTTATTCCTAGCAAAGCACTTACACTCATGCTTAAATGTCAACATATAAACTTCCCCATAAACTTCAAATCCCTTTGAAGTCCGTGAAATCACTCACATGCTTAAAGATAAGCACATGCTTAATTGCTTTGCAGGATCAAGGTCAGATCAGCACCTGCAGAAGGCTCAGCACCTGCCAGGATCAAGCTGTTGGAGGACATAGAAGTACAGCTGGTCTAAAACACCATGATTGTGAAAGATCACTTTGGGACTAGCTTGTTCAAGAGTGAGCATTAAAGCTGGTCAGAAATTTTCCAACGGAAGGTTTTTCCACTGGAAAATACCAGTTCATCAAAAGTAAAATGTTTCACAGGTTTGTCAATTTTGATGACATTTTATTTTGAAAAAAAATCAGACTGAAGCATTCTGATATGGTCAAAATGTTCTGTTCAATCTTTTTAGAATAGATCATTTCAATTTTCTATTTTGAAACAATATTTCATTTCAATTCTTTATGATGGCATACTTTTTTATACTGTACTGTACTACACTGATATTGTAGTGAAGCACTGGAATTTTATCCAAATATTTTGATTGACCCAAAACAAATTTTCAATTGAAATTTCATTTGATGGGAAATTTCAAATTGTTCCCTTTCAACCTGGAAAAAAAATCCTGGAATTTCCTGCAAAATGGAAAATCCAGTTCCTACCCTGCTCTAGTGCCATAAACAGTCCCAGTTCTATTCTAATGTCCTCTTATGCATGATGTCCTAGGCAGCTGCCTACTTAAACCTGTAACTATGGCTGCAGCTACAAATATTTCCCATAAATATTTCCCACAAAATTGCCCAATAAAATTCCATTAAAAATGTATCTTAACTCACTTCAAACCCTTTCCTATCATATGCGAAACAAACCATATATATGTTGCTGAAGGGCTGGGGTTAGGTGCATACAATTGTAATTACTGTGTTTTCCCAAACATCTTTTTCAGATACTGTAATGCCTATGTTAAAATACCACATAAATCGACCCTTGTGTGTTTGTTCTCATCTGTCTACAGAGTCTTGTCATTTACCTAGACGTTTGGAGGCAGATACTGCTTTGTTACTACACAATTGTACACAGCCTGGAACAATGGGATCTTACCACAGTTTCTAAAATGTACTGCAATACAAATAAATCACAAATAATAATTTTAATAGCAAAAATAGCTTCAGCCTTTATACATATTTTCTGATAGAAAGGAGGATAAATTCTGCTGGCTGCAGAGTCATCTGTCTATGAATGATGTTTCAAATAAGTTCCTAAAACTATCACAGCCCCCAACAGAATGTATGTGAGGAGACATTGCACTGTGGTCTACAAGCTAAATTATTTATGAATAGATAAACATATTTATCATATGACATTAACCTGCTTCTTAAGAAGAGAGTCAAACATAGTTTTGAACTATGGGTAAATTAGGAGGCTGATAACATTTGTTGTTAATTGTTCTTCAATTTGGCTCAATCATTTTCTTCAACCAGAAAATTACCACTTTGAAAACCCCTTGACACTAATAATAATGTGTTTCTTTCTGAAAATATTCCACATAAGTTGGTTGATTGGATCTTCTTTTTGTATGTCAGTTTAAATTAAAGTTCTACAGGAATTTAGACTGGAAAGATTTGGGCTATATGCAAATAAGCCTATTATTAAATGTTCCAGACATTGTTATAATATTGTTACAATTCTGTTTTCCCAACTGAGGAATTAAATATTGAATAGTCTGTCAGCCACTCTTTTGACTCTTCCCTTGATACTTACTGGAAAGTGTTTAAGAGAACCATGATAAACCTATTAACCCCAAAACAAGAGGAAATACACAAACACACATTAAAAACAGATACATTTGCTGTAGCGGGAACAAAAGCTTTTATGAAAAAAAACACTGTTTCCCAAATGTGTAAACCTAGTTGTGGTGAAAAATAGATCTGTCTGCAGAAACACACATCCTTAAACTTGTTACTAAAGTGGGTTTGAAATGTTAAATGTTTCCATTAAAACAAAATGTTATTACTGTACAGTATTAATGGTTTGTAAACACCTACTTGCTACTGTTCATAAACTCAGAGAAAACATCCTTCAAAGCAGGGTATCACACCAATAGAAAAGGGCAATAGCTTTTTTTACTGCGCTATACAGTGAGACAAGTTCCATGCTGGTGTATTTGGCTTTAAGTTACAAAATACAGAGGCAAAAGGACAACTGAAAGATGCTTCTCTTTAGATGCTTATGGCACGCACAAAAAGCTTGTAAAAGGCATCAAGAACAGTTGGTTGCACATTACTGCTTGTATGATTCCTAAGGACAGCCAAGTCCTGATGTGTGCACCCTAAGGGGAAGTGCTCAACCTAAGCGAAACCTGATGTTAAACTCCAGTAAACGCAAGGCAAGAGCAGCAGC